AGGGAGGGAAACGAAGAGAGAGAGAGAGGTTCATTGGAAAAATTCAACAATGGGGCATAAAAGTGAAAAGAACAAAAAAAATCAATCAAATTGAAGGAAATTGGATAGAAGACTGGAAAGAGAAAACTGAGACAATCAGGTATTTTTAATATTTATTTATTGTTTACAAATTTCTTATTGTAGGATGCAGTATTTTATGGAAGAACTATAACTTAGGGTTTGTATTTTAACAAGAGATATCAAAGATAAATATGATTTTGTTAGATGTACTCTTTTTGTGATTATCAAGTACTTTCTCTCATTTACAAATTTTTTATTTTTACTATAAGAAATATTTTTTAATGGAAGACAATTATCAAATGAATAGTATTCAATTTAAGGTTTTTCTATGAGATAGATGCTTTAGTAAGTTTTAAAACCACATAATAATTTTGTGAAAAATACAACTTATGAGATATTTACAATGTTTAGGCTTATATATGAATTTAGCATTTATTTTGAAATATTATTTTTTGAAATAGACTTTTTGCTTAGTGTTTGGTTTAGGCCATGTCTTTGAAATTAACAAATTTTTTCTTCAGAAATTACTACTTTTGCCTCTTCTCTCTCTCTCTCACTCACTCACTCTTTCCGTCTCTCTCTAATAGGTTTTACTTTTCAATTCTTAATTTCATCTTGAGTTACTACTTATTGTGCTATCTAATGTGGATTTTCTTCAAAGGTTTGAAATAATGTTTTGTTAAGATAATCACCAAATTAATAATTTTTAATGGAAGACAATCATTAAATTAATAGGGTGTTCAATTTTTTTATATATATGGAAAAACCTAAAAAAACGCCTATGGGCGAAATGCTACAGTGTTTCGCCAACGCCACGAACTTGCTATGTCCATGGCGGTTTATTGAACGAACCCGCAATGGACAGCGTCTGTTGCAGTTTGGCGTCCATTGCGGTTTATTGACCACCACGAACATGCTAGGTCCGTGGCGGTAAAAATAGCACTCCGCTCAAATTTTCAGACGATGATGAGCCTATGGGTGGAAACATTGTTTATTTTCGCCCATATGCGTTATCTATATATATATATATATAGATAACGCCTAGGGGCGAAAATAAACAGTGTTTATATATATCTGCATCAACACAATGCCTATGGGCGAAAATAAACAGTGTATGAATATGAGATAGATGCTTTACTAAAGTTTTTAAACAACATTATAATTTTTTGTAAAAATAATGGTTGATGAGAGATTTACAATATTTAGGTTTATCTCTTAATTTTGTATTTATTTATTTAGACATAGGCTTTTTTCTTAACTTAGAGTTTTTGAGTTTGGGGTAAGTATTTGAAATTAATAATTTCTATTATTATATTATACGAATGGCAATTAATGTATTTGGCTTCTAAAATACTCATGCATTTTGTTAGTGTCTTCTAAAATTACTTCAGTTGTCAATTTCTTTATTCCAAAGCTATAAATATGAGTGATGTCGCTTTTATTATTAAGAAAGGTATTATTAATATTTAGTAAAAGACAAGGATAATTATAGAGTGATCCCTATATATGTATAGGGTGTGTTTTGTATAGAGCCTATGCTCTAAACAATCAAATTAGAGCCTACCTTCAAATAGTGCAGAGAAATGTAGTTTCAACATTGGAAATCTTTGAGATAGCCTTAAAATATATTTTTATATTTAGTTATAAATTTTAAAGTTTCAAAAATAGCATAGATCGACATATCTATGAAAACTTGAAAATTTTGAAACTTGACCGTCCAAAAATGCATTATGCAATACACTATTTCCAAAACTTGAAATCTATTTTTTCTCATGTCCATGTATCTTAATGTTGAGATGATCAATTTGAGGATATTTGTGCATCAAAACAATCTCTTCTAGTGAAATTTTTGAGGTAGGCTCTAATTTGATTGTTTAGAGCCTCGGCTCTATATAAACTTTTCCCATATATATATATATATATATATATGGTGTCGGTTCTATAAGGTTGCAAC